TGGTGAACCATGGAACTCTTTAATCTCATTTTGCTGCCAAAGAAAACACTGGAATAGCATGAAGTATAGGGTGTTGAAGGAGACAGTTTTACTGGGTACACGTGTGGGGTGCAAGACAGGACTGCATTTACTCTGTTTCAAGACAGTCCATTGCAAATGGTCTGCCTGATGTCAGTATACAAAAACTGAATATCCCTCTCTTACAAATTCAGGATATTGGTCTGCTCATGGATTTCTTCTGTCTTCGTTGCTCAGATACTGCTGCCATGGGTGGAAATCAACTACTGGCTTCTGGAAAGTTGGAACTGGCTTCTGTGGATCGAGTCAGGCCTAATCAGATATACTCTAGCCACGACAAAATCGGAAAAGCGAACTGTGGGGCTTCTGCTGTTCACTCCTGGGGGGCAGTGGAGGAAGCAATGGGTTATCTGTTCCGTTTGTGCAGCTGGACAGACATGAGTCTATCTGCTGCAGAACTGGTGTGAGCAATAAGGACTCCTGAAAAAGTTGCTCACTGCATGTTTGTCTTTGACCTGCAATAGTTACTGGTTGGGTTTTATCAGGTGAGGGTAAGTCTATGTACAGCTAGTTCCCGGTGACTTCCACTGTCAATAGGAGCTATTGCATTAGCAGCTTTCAGAGCAGACTAGGAAGCTTGTGCGCGTTGAGCGGAAAACCACTTAACTTTCAATTGCTGTACAATTTGCACTGAGAGATTGTGCTTTGCTAAGTAGACGTAACACAATTTGCGATTGGCATCAGAATATTCTGAGACACTTTAATTAACGATGAATGATAAATAATGCTAAATGCTTGATCAGATTGCACAATATCTTGTATGCTTCCTGTTGGTGTGCTGCTCAGTGTATATTTGATGGGCAGGAATGTGTTCATAGCTGCAATTTTTCCACATCAATCTCTAAATGTCCTTTCCTTTCTTTTGTCTTCTGTTGGATTTTGAGATCAGTTACTCATCACCAGACTTCTTTAAACATCCTTATTAATGACAGCATTATTTATATTTACATTTAGGCTCTAGTTCTGGCTCTTTCCTCTGTCTTGTTTTGTCTTTTTATGATATGCTTCCACTTCTGGGCTTGGAAGAGCTTTCCAGTCAGCCTCAGCCAAACTTAATTTCTTTCTGACTTAAGCCTGACTCTCCTGTTCTGTGAATCTGTAGCTTCTACTTGTGCATTTCTAGTGAGAAAAATCAGGAGGGAACTGTTGTAATCATAGTGCCATGTGTAATACACACCAGAGCATTTCACAGCATTATCTGAAATAGAAGCTATATTCTAGGGAGGAGTCAAAGATTTCTTTAAAAAAGAAAAAGACATCATAGTGGATTTTTTTTTTACTTGAAAATCTTGTAACTGTTCTCTAATACAGAGTGGGTGCCTTATTTCCAATGTGAACCTAATCTTCTGACTACTAGATTATGGGAGACGTTTGTTTTGCAAATTGTTCAGTCTCTTTGTGTACATAGAGCACAAATCTATACTGAAACAACATTTAAGCAGAGATCGAACTATGTTCGGATGTACTCTTAACTTCCCCAGTTACTCTTAAACTAGTTTGGAAGCTGGCTCAGGAACTGGTAGTATCAGGAATGATGCTGGTGTTTTGAAACAGGATTATGGGTTTGTAAAGTACCTGCTCTTGTGTATATCAGATCTTGGTTCCAGTTCAGCTGAATTAATTTCTAGCAGTTAACGTATTGCTGGATCGGGAACAGGCCACTTTGTGCAGAACAGTTGTTTTTCCTCTTAGGTTAAGGATGACTCCAACCTGCTAATCTACTGTTCGAGTGTAATGCAGTTGGTGAGAAACCAGCTCAACCAAAGTGAGAAAATTTGTCTACATCCTGAGACAGTGGAGGTCTTACCCTAGTGTGTCACACGCTTAACTGAGATCCTTGGGAACGACTGCATTTCGGCATCAGCCTGATAAATTCAATGCAGTATCTACCTTCTAGCAGAAAGTGTTTCCCTCAATAATGAAATTCCCATGACTTCTGCTTTCAAGCTTCGTGCTTAGCAATGGGTTTCTGTTTGGGGATCTGGGTATTCAGTTGCTCCATGTCAGGCTTCCTGAGCCAGAATGCCAGAAGATTTCGAACGCGGCACGAAGCAGTGTGTGGAAATGCAACTTGGCTTCGTTCTTCGTATCCTGTGGTGCTGTACTTTACAAAGTTGCACTTGAGTCGGGAGTCAGTACCTACCTCCCAAATGTACTGTGAGATAGAAAAATCACAACTTTATTGTATTGTGGTGCTAGTAGCAAAACTTTTTTCCCTGTGCAAACGAAGTGGGGATGATCCAAATAACACTTTCCTCAACAGGAAGGTGGCTCTTGGGTTGCTTTTCTGCTGTTTCCTGAACTAAGCGTTTTGCTGATAGCCTTGTTGCTGTTCTCCTTTCTGTAGAAGACTGGCAAATTTCTCCACTTGTTTGAACATCTTAATGTGCAAGTGGTTTTTAAAAAATGTGCTTAAAAAGTGGCAGGCTGGACTGGGAACAGATATAGCATGGGTGTGAATCAGCCCTTTCACAATGAAGGCTGGCTCTGTGCGTGCCCTCTTGTCTGTCTAACCCCCACCCCCTTTTCTGGGTTAAATACAACCTCTAACTTGGCTAAATACAGGATTTTTTTGACTGAATGAATTTGAGCACCATATGATCTGCCTCCTCATGTTCCCTGAGCCCTTTGCAGGAGAAGGGAAATGTTTTTGAACAAAGTCTGCTAACAGGGTTGGTGGGTGGAAAGAGGACAAAACGAGTATGTGAAGAACCACATATTTTCACTGGACTTTTAAAACAAGTGACAGTTTGTTCTCCAGATAAAGGCACATTTGAGAGGAAAAACCTGAACAGTGAAAGTGAAGGGTTGGTGGGTTTTTTCTTAGGTGTCACAAAAATTCTTGTCCAAAATAAGAAGTATTGAGGCTTGTAAGCACGTACTTTTTAAAATACGAATATGTGACAGGCTGAATCCCAGGTGAGTCCTCATTACACACAACAGAGGATCCTTTTCTTAGACACTAGAACCTAAAGGCGAGATTTCAGTGAAGGGGAGCGTGCTCTTACATCTGGGGTTTTACAATTTCCTTCAGTAGAGATAATCTTGCTCCCATGCAGGAAGTCCGACATATGTCAAAACGACCTGTGTTACAGCTGGGTAAAACCTTTGGTTAACTGATTAAGACCCGTTTCAAAAGTCACAGAAGATGAGTGTGTTTCCATGCTCGGATAGGGTGAAGGAAGGCTCAATACTGCTAAGAGTATTCTTGCATAAAATGTTGGGGGGATGTTATGCAACTTCATTGCTGTATTTTTTCATTTTCCTTTTTTTTCCTATTTTGTTTGTGTCTCTGTGTTAAGATCGTGTCTTCTGCAAATACTTTGAACCAAGCAAAGGTTTTTTTGGGAAGAGGAAGCTGGAGGTGCTCTTCAGGGCGACCTGGGAGCTGCTTTAATCGCTTGCTGTTGACAAAAGGGGTTTCTTCCCCTGTTCACAAATGTGTTCTCCCTCCTTCTTCCCCTCCTTTTCCTCTTCATTGGCTCTGAAACTCATCTGTTCGGAGGTTATCTGTGTGATTGTTTCGGCCAAGAAATCTAAATAGGATAGTTAATAAAATAAAAATAGGGAGAAGTTTTTGTCAACCTGAACCGTAAGGAGGAAAAGAAAAAACAAAAACCTCCATTTTATTTTTCTGCTTGCTTCAAGGACTTACAAGGAGGAACTTGCAATTTCCCCATTGACCTAATTCATGAGAATAAGTTTCTCAGCTTTTAGTATTCTTCAGATACAAAAATGTTTTGATTCTCTTATGGTTTTTTTTGGTTGCAAGTTAGGAAGAATGAACTTTGAGCTTTTCTAAACTAGCTGAGTTAGTACTGAGATATTCTTTCCCTGTAAGCTTACTGTTCAAAGACAATCAAGGCTGGAATTTGTGCTTTGCAGTTGTGCCTGCTTTTCTCATTCTTTAAGAACTTCCCAGTACTGCTGACACTGCTTTGTGTCCATAGCTGTAAAAATCCTACTAGCTGACTATCCAGTTATTAAACCATAGAAACCCAAGTTTGAAGGGGCTAAATAGCACAGGCCTGGAAAATAGGCTTAGACATCCCATACTGGAGCAATAAAACTATATAGTTCTGAGAAGACTATCTTCAGTCTAGATGCAAATACAAAGAATACAGTACCCAATATATGATGAAAACAGGACCGTGCACAAGAGGCATGTTACTAGTCATTGATTCTGTTTATTCCTGGGTGCAATTCAAAGAGGTGGTTTGCTCTATAAAGCGTGGTTTGTCATGCAAGATGATGTAATTCACACCATGGTTGGGAGAGAGACTAAGCGTGATGTTTCTAGGGAAGGACCTAAGCTATTCCAGTTTTGTATGCGTGAAGAAGTGACTTATTGTCAGAATTCAGCTTCATTTGTTTTCTATTTAATAATTTCCACTTTTTTCTTTTAGGCAGTGTCATCCCTTAGCATATTAGACTTTTCTTGCTATTCTTCTGCATCGAGTTTATAAGAACTGAAAAAGAGAGTCTAATTTTATCGAGCTTGTTGCCTTCAGCTTGTGAGTCCTGGCAGCCCCCTGCTTTTTCCATTTCCCCCTCCTGCTTCTCCAGTACTTAGTACTAAAACAGCTGTAGCATTGGTATCTACTTAAAAATCTTCCAAGGGTCTTGTGTAGGTACACTTTTCATTTTGGCTTGTTCAAATAACTTCTCAGTTACTTGTGGTCACAGGGATTTTACAGCCCATCTTGAGGATCTGCACCCCTCTAAGGCTCAGGTGTGTGAGGCGTGCATTGTTGCCTCTGCTTTCCTGCAGCAAAGGCTTCAGCTACTGATTCTGATCCTGACCATCGTTGCTTCCCTTCCCAATAAATTCCTTGGACTTGTATATTAAGTGATTATAAAGTACACTTGGCTGTGAATCAGTTCTTCTAGTTTAAACTAATGTGTTTAACTCTTTTCTTTAGGCTCTGTTTTGGATATTATAAAGCACATTGTGGCCAAAGGAGAACACAAGACTGGTGTCCTGGATGAACCCTGTATAGCCACGATCCTTAAAGAGGTGCTGGAGGGGCTGGACTACCTGCATAAAAACGGACAAATCCACAGGTATTTTTCACTTTTCTCATCTTTGTCCCAAAATGTGTGTTGCTGAAACAGAGCAGCTGAGCTCATGCAGTTTCATCCTACAACCAGCTGTGAGGGCATGGAAAGAGGAAAATAAAGGTGGGAGCTTAATCAAAAATCAGAATTCAAATGTCTGTATAGTAGCTGCTGCTTTAGGAAATACTATGATTAGGCCAAGTTTGGGTAAACTTTGAGGTATCAAAAGTTCTGATACAGAGGACCTCTTTCCAAATGTCAGCATCCAGCTGCAAAGTGTAGGTGTTAGAGCTGGAAAACTTCAAAACTTGAGCTGGTTTTGTTTCTTGCAGAGCTACAAATCACAACAGCACTGCATAAAAAGTGTTGAGCAATTTAATAAGGAGCCTGTCAAGCTTTTTTTTTTTAAGGCTAGCTGCAAGATCAACATAGTGAAATTTGAATTTGGGTAATTTCATTTAAAAAAAAAAAAAGATGGAAACAAAATTAGTGGAAAAACTTCTTCTGTAGGCAAAACCCAGTTAACTAATGGCCTGTGATTTGATGGATCACTGAAACGTGTGGGTTTCTGTGCTGCTGTGTCATTTGGGAGGTATTTTTAAGTCATCTTTTCCTCTCCCTTCGTGTCAAGGTGTGGTGTAGCTCAGGAAGAGAGGATACTAAGTCAGTATGTTCTGCTGTTAAAAAGAATGAGATTTGCAATCCTAAATATGTGCTGAAAATAGAATATACCGCTTGTGGGTAATATACATCATCCCAGCCACAGACTGCTGCTGGGAACAACAGCCTCTTTCTTGGGAATTTTGTGAGCTTGGCTGTCTTCTGGTACAATACCATTATAAGCATTGCTGCCACTGTGCTGGAGTAAGTTTCTGTCCTCTTGTGATAGCTGCGTAAGAAGAGGTAACTTTTTGCCAGAATGTTACTTTAATTAGAAAATCCAAGAAGTATTTATTTCATATTTTTGGTCAAACTGACTGGCTTTTGTAGGTTGTTTTGGGTTAAAAAAGAAAGAAATGGTTGGAAACAATTCTGCTGGAATTCTTTTCCCTGAAAGAAGTCTCAAATTTTGGTTTCCAGTCTCTATTAAAATTCTGACTTAACAAGAATGGTTGTCTTCATTGAAGGCAGTTTTGATTTCACAGCTGGTTGCTTAACTTTGTTTTTTAGAGATAAGACTTCAGGCAGCTCTGGGAAGTTAGAGTAAAGCAACAGACCAACTTACTCACTGAGTACATCGTAATTTTTCACCCTTACCATAAGTAATTTACAAAACCATGCTCATCTGTGACTTGCAGTTGATTTGCTTGACTGATTTAGTTCATCTTCTGGTCTAATGAAATCGAAATATATATGTTAAAGCAGCAGTAAACGGTTAAATTTCAGTTTTTCTGAAGATGTCACATAGTGATTTCTGTATTGAAAGAAAGGTGGTTCTCCATTTGAGTTGCTGTAGTGAAACAGCAAAACTAGTAATTGTGGTGAAGATTGTAGAGGATATATTCGTGTGTTGGGTTTTCTTTTTTCCTGCACTCAGCAAAAATATGATGTTCACAGAAAGTTCAAACTGTGTGATCTGAAGAAAATGTGATTCATATTGAATCATTGGGAAGCAGACTGAACCAAACCTCCTGCAGCCATTCTCGTCCTGCTCATCTGAAGCATTTTGCCCTTATTTAGGGGACTTCAGCAAAGAAATCAAAGCTGTGTTATTGCTGCAGCTTAAGGTTGCGGTTGTGCGTCAGCTACTCTGCATGTGTTGCATCCCTGTATTTTGGGGCTGCTCTGACAATTGCGTAATGTTTTATCAGAAAAAAGTGTTTGGATTACCTCATTGTGTTGGGGCATGGCAGTCTGGGAAATTTGGAGAAATGGTAATAGTCACAATACAGAAGGAAAGTTGTGTAGTTTCCTACCTGTGATGCAAAGGGTGGGTTTTTAACCGTTGGCAGAAAGCAAGCTTACATGCCTTTGAGGGATGAAGCATGTTTCCTTAATGGATTTAATCATGCTGTCTTGCATTTTATCCAGATGTGTGTACACTGCTGAGAAAAACACAGTTTAAAGTTGTAGTGCAGATGGGACCTTTCCTCACACTTAGGAATATCTGTATGGTTTTCCCATTTTGCTTAACACTAGGGGTCATAACATTGGTCATGCCTGATGGGAAAGGCAGGTGGAAATCTTGCAGTTGTGCCAGAGATGCTTTAAGAGGAAGTGTTTAAAATAACTAAACTTTAGTCCTCTGGGTCAGCTTGAAGTATCTGGCTCTAAAGGAAGCTGACTGCATCAGGTGATGGCTGAACTGCTGCATACAGTGTCTGCAGTGTGGGGCAGCTGTGGTTGGGGTGAGCTTCAGGCCAAAACAAGGTCAGCTGTGAAGGGTCAAAATTGAAGGGCTTTGGTTAGACCTGGAACAACTAACCCAAAGCAAGCAGCCATCCAGCAGAGCAAAGTGTTCAGCTGGTTGCTCTAAAATATCCCAACTCTATTTGTATTACACCTAGCAGAAAACGACTTGATAAAGTTTGAGACACAGTATGGGTGAAATGAATGTAATTAGCACATCTTAAGTTGGACAACCAGGCTGGTGGCAAAGCTGGAAGAATGAATATCTGGACCCAAATGTAATTTTGTGGACGCTGTTGACCTGAAGCGGGGACAGCTTGTTACTGCTGTAAATCACCAGTGAGATCAGAGGATATATGTGTGGCAGTGGAGGTGCTTGATACTTATAAATTATGCATCATCTTAAATGGATAAATTAAGTCAATACGTGGAAGACTGGCTTAACGAAATTCTGCTGCTGCTGAATCTTACTCTGCGTAAGGCTGCCTTGAACTTAATGCCACTTCCAGTTAAGGTTTGGGGAGCTGGCTTCACGTGGAAGTGTAAATCCCTGCTTTGGACAGGAGAGTAGCTTGACAGTATTCTCTAGAGGAGATTAGAAAGCCAAATATCTAGTGAAGGCTTAAATTGTAATTTTTTTTGTTTACTTTTCTGATCAACAGCCAGAGCGAGGCTGAGACTTGAATAGGTGCCATTGTTCAGCAACAAATGCTGAAGTCTCCCACATTGTCCAAAGTGATATTTTTTGCTTTCGTCTTACAAGGGCTGTTGGGAACAATGTCTGAGGCCTTATGGAAAAGACAAAGGAGAAGGCAGAATCAGTTTTATTTTCATGAAGCACTCTATACCAAGGTAACGATTACAGATGATGCCTGTCTTCCTCCAAAATCACCACTGCCTCCCGGATCTCAGAGTTGGCAGCTCTCTGCCTTCATTGCCATGTGCCTGTCCCTGGCCATCTCTCCTGTGCCAGCTGCCGCCGTCCCCATTGCGGTTTTCTGTGTAGCACAGTGATCCCAATGACAATTTGAAATCCTAGTGATCCGGCTCATGTTAAGTGAGTTAAATACCTGGGCACCAGCCCAGATATTGCTGAGGACGGAGGGCCAGACTCAGAAACCTTCGGATGAAGCTGTCCTGCTGGAATCTGCTTGGACACATTTTTTTTATGGAAGTCGAGCAAGGCTGATGTGCTGCAAGGGATCACTCCCAGGCTAATCTTGCCTGGGTGACACACAGGGTATGTTGCACTTCTTCCTCATTTGTACTCTGAGTCCTCTGTGTTTTTGGGGACTAGCAGGAGTTTGATGAATGACTCGGAAATAAAACTAAAGCAAAACACACTCAAGAGGTTTTATTACTTAAAAAGACTTGTTGGAGGGAAGTTCAAGGCTTTTTCAGGTGGTGCCCTTTTTGGCAGCCTGACAAATGAATCATGCTGATTAACTGTTACAAGGTCTCTCTGTCTTTCTCCCTATTTTTATCTCTGAGCTTATCTTCTGTTCGTGATTAGCTGTTGTGTAAGGGAATATTTCAGTTAGTCCAGGTGAAATGATACACTGCTCAAATATAGTCAGATTCTCCTATTTCAGCATAATAAATGTGATGCTCCCATGCTTTTTTTGTAAAAACAAAAAAGCTTAGGAAGTGGTTTAGGGGTTGTGCATGCACTTGAAATATTGGCATAGCAGTGATCCAGCTATTAATTTGTTTGCTGCTCTACTTCTTAGGGGGTTAGAGGTGCAACAGCACATTTGATATGCTGAGTTAGATCAGCTTGTGCTCCCATAGAGAATGTTTTGGGGGGTTTTGGTGTCTTTTCAAAATCAGTTTTCTGAGTGTAGGGCAGCAGGGTGCCGTGGCAGGGGTTTGAATGTTGCTTTGAAGAGACACCGGAAACAGTATTCTTGCTGTGTTTTTATGCCAAATATATTAGCTTATTTTTTGGACCTTAAGATGATTTAACCATAATAATTTCTGAAAATGGATGTTTGTATGTGAGCACATACACATCACCAACACTTATGCGTGGGGTTTTGCAGGAGTGCTCCTCCAGTAGTGAGTTTTGGATTTAAGGTGAAGGAGCTGATGGATACATTTTGGCAGAACTCAGCTGTCCTACAGGATTCAAGCTTAATTTTCATGGAGCTGATTAATGCATTGATAGCCGTGCTGGCAGGTATTGTGGTTAAACTGGATTCCAGTATGCCTCTGATTATTTTGATGACTGAAATACTGTACTCTTTTGTTTCTGTAGCAATACTGTAGGAGAACTTTACAGCCCTCCTCTCCACAGTCCTATAATCTTGTTTTGGGGAGTGTGTTTTGGAACTGAAGTTTGGTAGGGGAGGACTGAGGAATGGATAACGGGATGTGGAGCCTTTCACCTCTAATTGCCAGTTCGATTTTACTAGGACACTAGTAATTTGAAAGCTAGCTATTGCTCAGCCATGGGAAGTGGAATTTGATATTCAGAGAAGTGTGCTTTGGTTTCTTTCCCTTATAGCACAGGATGGGCAAAAGTAACCTTTAGAGGTAGTTATTAATATAAAATTTAAAGCTTTAATTTGTTCAGTAGCCAGAATAATAGAAATGTTACTCTTGGGTGTCTCAGTGGGAAGGGAGAAAAGATGCTGCTCTAGATTGTACTGGGCAAT